TGACACCAAATTTTGCGGGCAAGTCTTAAATGACAATACGGAACTATTCTCGGTCTCGGAATTCCGTTCGGATCTCGATAACACAAAATACCGCTCAATACCAAATTTAAAAAACTTCAAATCCTTAAGGAATCAACTTTCACTATTAGGCGCCACAACGCTCCCGGGTCATCCAAAACTTGATCCGGACATACGCCCAAGTCCGAAATCGTCATGCGAACCTGTTGGAAACTTCAAATCCCGATTCTGGAATCGTTTACTCAAAATGTTGACCGAAGTCAAACTTGGCCTTTTAAGCTAACCTTAAGGAACCAAGTGTTCCGATTTCAACCCAAACTCTTCCAAATCCCGAACCAACCATCCGTGCAAGTCATAGATCAGTAAAATCAAGTACGGAAAGTCTTATTTAGGGGAACGGGGTTCTAAAAAGTAAAACAACCAGTCGGGTCGTTACATACAATTAAAATAGAAGAAGAAAAGAAAAAAAATGGGAAAACTAAAAAAAACTTAAGAAAAAGGAAAAAAGAAGCCATGGTACTTACCTGATGATCTTGTGAGGAATAGAGATTAGGGAGTGATTGAGTAGAGAAGAGGAAGAAAGAGAAGTAGGTTTTTTGCTTTGGGAATTTTGGGGGAAAGGATGACAGTGTGTGTGGGGTGCTTTTGAGAGAGGAGGAAGGTTTTTTTTTCTTTTTGTTGTTTTCAGATTTTAGGGGGGGAAAGAAGGGGGGGCGGTTATTAGTAGAAAAAGAAAAAAAAGTAAAAATTAATGAAAAGAAAAGAAAAGAAGAAAAAAATAAATAAAAAAATAAACTTTAACTCAACCTAAAAACGGCGCCCGGTGCGCGGTCGGTCCGCGGTCAATGCGCGGCCACGCACGCGAGGAAGTAAGGGTCTCAAAATGTGTGGTCCAAGTGCGGTCTGAGCGTGGCCGTGGACGTTGCAACCGTGTGGTCTCAAAATGCGCGGTCCAAGCGCGGTCAGAGCGCGACTGCGGATGTTTCAACAGCGTGGGTCTCAAAATGCGCGGTCAGAGCGCGACCGCGAACGTTTGGCCTCCGAAATTTTTCCTTTTTCTCCACTTTTTACCTATCTCCAGGTTGATCCCTTCACCCCGAATCCTTTTGACGCGCACAATTTCATCCCTACACATCAATAGATCTGTCAATACTTTCATAGTTCAAAATCAAATAAGAAAAATATTGGGTTGCCTCCCAAGAAGCGTCTGATTTAACGTCGCGGCATGACGGATTACAACAAACCATGGGTTACCTCCCAGGAAGCGCTTGATTTAACGTCGCGGCACAACACAGGCTTTCATTATTGCACTTCGCTCACGTATTGGGGCTCTTCCAAGGATATCACAACTTTCTCCCCTTTTTCTTCAACCATTCCAAGGCAGTGTTTAAACCTTAGCCCATTAACTTTAAACTTATTTGTTCCATCTTCAGACTCAATTTCTACTGCTCCACTGGAGAACACTTGCACAATTCTAAATGGTCTTGACCATCTAGACTTCAGCTACCCGGAAACAATCTTAATCTGGAGTTGTATAACAACACGAGATCTCCGGGTTTGAAGCTCCGATCTAGAATGTGCTTATCATGCATCATTTTCATCCTTTCTTTGTACAATCTTGCATTCTCAAATGCATGGAACCGGAATTCCTCGAGTTCATATAGCTCGGTGACTCTACTTCTGCCTGCGGTTTCCATATCCAAATTCAACTGCCGCATTGCCCATAGGGCTTTATGCTCAAGCTCCACCGGAAGATGGCATGCTTTTCCAAACACCAACTTGTATGGAGACATACCAATCGGAGTTTTAAATGTTGTGCGGTACGCCCATAATGCATCATCCAGCTTCTTTGCCCAATCAGTCCTTGTCGCATTCACTGTTTTGGTCAGGACACTTTTGATTTCCCTGTTGGACACTTCAACTTGCCGCTCGTCTGTGGGTGGTAAGGTGTGGCAACCTTATGGCGAACTCCATACTTTTCTAACAGCCTTGTGAATGCTCTATTACAAAAATGGGTTCCACCATCACTGATTATAGCTCTCGAGGTGCCAAAACGTGTGAAAATATTTTTCTTTAGAAAGCTTGTCACTCCTTTGCATCATTTGTTGGAAGGGCCACAACTTCAACCCATTTGGAGACATAGTCAACTGCTACCAATATGTATTTGTTGCCATACGAGCTGACAAATGGCCCCATAAAGTCAACCCCCACATGTCAAATACTTCCACCTCCGTCCTGAATTGTAGTCATCGGCATCTCGTGACAGCGAGATATGTTGCCTGTCTTTTGGCACTCGTCACAACTTTTCACCCAAGCATGGGCATCCTTGAACAGAGTCGGCCAATACAAACCCGACTCCAACACCTTTGCCGCTGTCCGAATTCCTCCAAAGTACCCACCATATGGTGAAGCATGGCAAGCCTGCAAAACAGAAGGTTGATCTTTCTCGGGGATACACCTCCGGATCATGTTATCTACACATATTTTAAAAATTAAAGGTTCATCCCAGTAATAAGAACGATAATCGCGAAAGAACTTTTTCTTTTGAATCGAAGAGAGCTCATAAGGTACAATGGCGCTTGCCAAATAGTTAGCAATATCAGCATACCATGGCGTCTCCTTCATTGTTACTGGTAGTAATTGTTCATCCGGGAATGTCTCCGTTATATCTTCAACCTCTACCTTCTGTTCAGCTCCCTCCAACCTTGAGAGGTGGTCTGCTACTTGGTTTTCTGTCCCTTTTCTATCGCGGATCTCCAGATCGAATTCTTGTAGCAAAAAGAACCCAGCGGATCAAGCGTGGCTTTGACTTCTTCTTTGCTATCAAGTACCTAATTGCTGCATGGTCAGTATAAACAATAACTTTTGAACCAATCAAATACGACTTGAATTTGTCGAATGCAAACACCACTGCCAACATCTCTTTTTCAGTCACGGTGTAATTGAGATGTGCACCGCTTAGCGTTCTGCTTGCCTAGTAAATTGGGTGCATCAGCTTGTCCTTTCGCTGCCCCAGGACTGCTCCTATAGCATAGTCACTCGCGTCGCACATGAGCTCGAACAGTTGCTCCTAGTTGGGTGCAACGATGATGGGTGCAGTCACCAGTCTCTTCTTCAGCTCCTCAAATGTCAACCTGTAATCATTAGAAAACACAAAGGGATGATCATTTTCAAGGAGTTTACATAAAGGGTTAGCAACTTTAGTGAAATCTTTTATGAACCGCCTGTAGAGCCCGGCGTGCCCAAGGAAACTTCTCGTTGCCTTGACCGAAGTGGGCGGTGGCAACTTCTCAATCATGTCAACCTTAGCATGGTCGACCTCAATTCCTTTACTGGACACTCGATGCCCCAACACTATCCCTTCTTGTACCATAAAATGGCACTTCTCCCAGTTCAGCACTAAATTTGTCTCCACACATCGTTTAGCACTCTTTTTAAATTGTGAAGACAGTCTTCGATTGAATCCCCCACCACGGAGAAATCATCCATAAAGACTTCCATAATATCTTCAACCATATCTGTGAAAATGGCTAACATACACCTCTGAAATGTAGCCGGTGCATTGCAAAGGCCAAACGGCATTCTCCGAAAGGCAAAGATGCCATACGGACAAGTAAAGGATTTTTTCTCTCTATCTTCATGGGCTATTGAAATCTGATTGTATCTCGAATATCCATCCAAGAAGCATAAGTGAGACCGCCTAGCCAACCTATCCAACATTTGGTCAATGAATGGCAAGAGGAAATGGTTTTCTGGGTTGCTGTGTTCAGTTTCTGATAATCCATGCAAATTCGCCAACCCGTGACTGTACGAGTTGAGATCAACTCGTTATTCTCATTTTGCACGACCGTTATTCCTCCTTCCTTCGGCACACAGTGAACAGGGATGACCCAGTTACTTTCAGAGATGGGGAAGATGATTCCCGCATCTAACCACTTGATCACTTCTTTCTTCACCACCTCTTTCATATTCGGGTTCAACCTTCTTTGATGTTCTCTGGAAGGTTTGTGCCCTTCTTCCAAGAGAATCTTGTGCACACAAAAAGTCGGGCTGATATAAGTCTGCCATGGTCCAACCAATAGCAGTCTTACATTCCTGTAACACCTGTAGGAGTTGCTCTACCTGCACAGCTAACAAACCGGATGATATAATAACAGGTAAAGTAGAATTAGGCCGTAAGAAATCACTATAACAAATAAGGCCTTTAGCGGCAATACAAAATGTCTTTAGCGGCAATAATAATAGCCGCTAAATCTTTTACCGGCCATCAGCCTTTTGCCGCTGAAACGGGGGTCGGCAAAGCCTTTAGCGGCTATTCTCGCAAAAGCTGGTAAATGGTATATTTTATTGCCGCTAAAAGTAATTATCTTTAACGGCAATTATTTGCGGCAATTATAATGGCTACTAAATTCAATCCAAAACGGCTAATTATACTTCTTTAGCGTCCATTATTATAGCCGCTACATTCAAAATAATTATCGCTAAAGCAATTGTTTGTGGCAATATAATGGCTACTAAATCCAATCCAAACGGCTAATTATACTTCTTTAGCATCTATTTTTTATAGCAGCTAAATTAAAAATAATTGCCACTAAAAGTTTGCATCTTTAATGGAAATTATTTTGTGGCAATTAAAGTAGCCATAGTATCCCTTCTGAAAACATCTTAGTTTGCCCTTTTAGCTTCCATTCTAATGGCTAATATGTTTAACTAAATTGCCGCTAAAAGTCAATATTTTTAACAACATTTTATTTTACATCAATTATAAATATTTTAGCCACAATTAATGATAGTCACTACATTCGTACATAATATGACTCAAATAATAAAATATATTAATATTAATTCAAAAAAAATATAATGTATCTCATTAATCTTAACAAACAAAAGGAAGTACTAATCAAAAAGATTAATATCACATTAACTTAAAACATAAAAATATATAATTTAGACTAAATAGCTAATGTCATTATATAACTAATTCAAATGATGGTCTTCAAATGATTTCAGCAACTTTTCAACATTTTGAAATCTTTCACCCGCTAAATTGTCCGACATCAGATATGACCTGAAATTATAAAATAATTGTGTCAAAAGAAGAGTAGCTAATCCAGATAGTGTTGATGTCTTCAAATGAATAACTACAAATTACTTGCTATTAAATAACTGGAAAAATAATTGTCTCATGTTACTACTCATTCTGTCAAGGAACAAAAACTGGTGAACACTTCAAATGAATAACTACAAATTACTTGCTATTAATATTTTTCTTTAGTTATTTATCTAGATAAGTTCTTTTTGGGATCTAGTCAAAGAAATGCTTCATGTTCTAGCAGTCGTCTTCTATAGCACTTTATAAAAAAATGCCAAGCTTTAAGATTTTGTGTGGTCAGCTTATTAGAACTATGCCTACAAACTTCAAAAAGGCCCTACATGACTTTAAGCACGGAAAATAAACTTGGTACGCTAAGTTTGATACCTTTTTTAATGTAATAGCAGGGATGATACATCAATCACTTGATAGTAACCAAACAACACACTTGGGAGTACAAATATTGTCTTTCAACCAAATTGGAACATGAATACACATACTAGCTAAAGAAAAATGGATAATAGGTGAAAAATGAAAGTACATGACCAAGATACTACATGGCACATTCAAGAACACTAGTTACTGGTTCAACCAAGCAACTAGCAAAGCAAAGAGCACATAAATAGAAGAAAAGTATTCATACTCATAGTCGAGAGTTTCAAAGAGGTAAACATTGGCTCCAACAATAGTGATTTGGGAGGTGTGGTTGACTCTGCTCTTGAATTTGTGGAAAAGCTCTTTGATACCACTTTCTGAAACCATCAAAACATTCTCATCAAATAAATATGATCTGCATATTTTGTTCTCCAAACGAAGAACTCTTATCAAGCTGCAAGAAGAAAAATTACAAAATTTACTTCAAAAACATCCGACCATTATGTAGTCCTATGTCTTTGCCATCAATGGTGGTATCAAATAAAGTGCTATAATGAATTATAGATTTTCAGAGCTGCCAACCAGAAATTAGTCACTTCAAATTGATTCCAGTTTGCTTCAAAAGCTACCTAGAGGTTATCATTACCATAATTTTTAGATTGTAACTGTATTGCATAAATACATTACAACCCCTCGATCTAGTGAACATCTGAAGCTACTTAGTTTCAGAACAAGTAAACTGATCTACACTTCTTAAAACACCTAAGGAAAAGCAATGGAACTATAATGAAACATCTTTTTGCTGATTATACCAGTGCATTATGTCACTAGCCTTAAGTCGTTCTATTGAAGAAGCTTCTTTGATTGAAAGGCACATGCAATGGGATGGTTGGCTATGAGATGGGATACAAGTATATTACAGAGAAAGATTACCTCACAAAATTTTTCAAGTACTGTGTTTACACAACTTCTCAAAGTCCAATGATTTAAAAGTACACACTTAAATTCTAGAAAGGAAAGACACACTGTTGTAGTCTTTTGACATCAAGAAGTTGGTCACTAATCTAGATGAGTTTGGCGCCTCTAAAGTATTAAGAGTTTGAACGAGCTAGTGGAAGATTTGCAAAGGAAATTATTTGAGTAAGATGAACTCTTAAAAGAAGTAGAGATCTTGATGAATGAAATGGTGTCTACTTATGTTGAAATTAATGAAATAAAAAAGACAACTCGAGAGGACTCATTACTCAAGTTGTCTCAAATTCAACTCTCTGATACAAAGGTTAATGACAAATGCTAGAAAAATAAAATACTCTTAATCTGTTGTCATCTATCCAGATGTTAATATTCTTGTAGTGTCTTTAAGGGAGTACAATATTCATCCATAGAAGAAACTTTTTTGATAAGTGCAAGGAAGCATCTCACTGGAAACACATATTAATTCAGATAAAAAACTCAATGCAAAAATGTACAATTCAAGAAGGCTTTGCACTCACTTGTAGTATTGGGATTTAACATTCTTTAATGTGTGAATAACTACCTCTGTATATTCTTTGATGTGTAAAGTCACATATCTACCTATAAAGCAGAACATGAAATTAGATTTTTACAATCATACACTCTTACGCCATATAAACATCTCCCACCTTATAATTGTATTAGTTTCATTAAAAGAAAATTCTTTATCGTTAGATATTGGTCTTTTTTCATAACTTTTGGAAGAACAAGCCGATTTCACGACAAAGCCAAAATTGACTTCAAGTGTTAGCCCAGGGAAAGTTCAACTTTTCTTTTGAAAAATCACAAGCTTACTGCATAATCATAGCAAACCCCCACCCTTCAGTAGCAACTTAAAAGGGTTCAGAAATTTTGTGAATCCAACAAGAATAAGAAAAGGCATTTTGTGGAACCACCAAAGTAAAAATAAAAAACAATGCCAACATTTGAGGTTAAATAGAAAAAACACAGATTATAACACATAGAATTGGTCATTGACTGAATTGGGAAAAAATATTGGACAGAAAACAAAATATTTGGCAATAGAAGAATATGACTAACAAAGAGTCTATTAAACCTTTTCACACCGAGTCACACTAAAGTGCAAGATGTACCAGCAAATGAAGCACATTTCAAGCACAAGAAAGATACTAAGAATTGCTAATTGTGAAATCCTCAAGCAATCATGAGATTTCATAGACCAACTCTCAGTTACATTCTTAGAACGACAAAAGTTCTCTACCACCACTAGGCACATATTTGTTATTACCTATAAAACTGTGACTTAGAACTGAGAATAGAAAAGAATGCTTACCGCAGTCACCAAAGAAGAGGAGCTTGTTGAGCGCTAGTGGGTGGAGAGGCCATTTGATTTTCTCAGAAAATGATGAAAGGAAACCCCAACCCTAGATATACAAAAATCACCTTAGTTACTTTGAATCTGTGAGGGAAAAGAATCAAATTAGAATATAATTAACTGATATCATATGTATATAAAAGAATTTATACATGCATACAACACCTAAATACCAGATCAAGGAAAGAGAGATGCGAAAATATGTTTAAAATCTAATAAAAGCAAGACATGAGTTGGGATGGGTTGCAGCGGCGGTGGTGAGATAGATCGAGACTTTTTGAAGTATTCCCAAAATTTCTGAATTTAATTGTTGATTTACAGAAAAAACAATTTGGGGGGGAGGGGGGGGGGATAGGCGGGTGGTGTGAAAATATTGTAGGGAAATATAAAATAAAAATATTTGTCCTGAATTAAGGGATTTTTAGTGGCCAATCCTTTTTATTGCCGATATAAGAGTACCTTTTTCTAGCCTATATTGTTTTGCCGGAAATATGCACAATATAAGAATAAATTAGTGGCTATTAGGTTATTACCACTAAATAATTGCCGTTAAAGGCCTTTTTTGTTGTAGTGAAAGCGTACCTGAGGTGAGCTGGAAGCGGTTTCAGGTCCAACTGTGGTGGCTCCTCTATTGATGGTTTCGCATTTGGTATTGTTCTTTCTTCAAAGCGTAGGGGCTCGAACTGGGGTTCCCTTGTCCAGAACCCTTGACCTTCGAGAGCCACGACCCACTCCGCCAACTCTTCACCATCTACATTTTCCAAATTCATCAAGCAGGCTTCTAAAGGATCTCTGACATTAAGGGTTTCATCCTTCTCTTGTAGTATTACATCCACGGCTTCCACTAGTGAGCAATTTGCAAATTCGCTGGGTATTCTCATAGATTGTTGAACATTGAATATTATTTCTTCATTATTCAACCTCATTTTTAGCTCACCAGTCTCACAATCGATCAATGCTCTCCTAGTGGCTAAGAACGGCCTCCCCAAAATTATTGGTATTTCTTCATCCACTTGACAGTCCAGAATAACGAAGTCGGCAGGAAATACAAACTTCCCCACTTGGACAAGCACATCATCCAGAATTCCAGTCGGTCTTTTGACTGTGCGATCCACCAGTTGCAGCAACATCGAGGTCGGTCTAGCCTGCCAGTGCCTAGTTTTGTGTAGATTGCCAAAGGCATCAAGTTGATACTAGCTCCCAAGTCACACAATGCTTTAGCAAAAGCTAACTTCCAATTGTGCATGGGATAATGAAACTACCGGGATCAGACAATTTTTGGGCCAAAGGTCTTGTCACTACCGCGTTGCACGTCTGAGTCAGAGTTACAGTACATAGGTCCTGAAAGTCAAATTTTCGAGACATCACATCCTTCATCATTTTTGCATAGCCTGGCATTTCCCTCAAAGCATCCATCAGCGGAATATTCAATTGAATTTGTCGGAGCATTTCCATGAATTTCCTGTATTGATCATCTTTCTTTTGCTTGGCCAACCTCTGAGGGAATTGTGCAGGAATTAGCTTCTGCCCACTGCTTGCTATCTTTACTTTATTAGAAGCCTTCTCCACCACCTGTTCTAGTAGTTGTTCAATTTCCTTCTCCTTGCCTTTGTCAACTTGCGCCTGTTCAATCACAACCTTTGTGAGCTCCGTTGACTCATCGGTCTCTAATGTCACTGGAGTAATTGGCATTGCGTCTCTCCTAGATTGAGCAACTTCTTGCTCTTTGTCTAAATCCCTTCCATTCCTAAGACTCACTGCCATTAACTGATTTGGGTTCTGCTCCTTTGGATTGATGTTTGTGTCTGCAGGCAAAGTTCCTTGTGGGCGATTGTTCAAGGCCATAGATAGCTGTCCTAATTGAGTTTCAATGCCTTTAATAGCCGAATCATGTGCAGCTAACGTTTATTGCATCTTTTCATTTGTCCCAATGAGTTGTTGCAACATGCCCCTGATTTCTATCAAATTATTGTCCTGTTGTTGATGAGGCGGTTGGTAAGCCAACTGTTGTTGGTGCTGCTGATTATAGCCCTGATGCCTTTGATAAGGCATGACTTGGCCTTGTGGTCGTGCGCCCCTGGATTGGTATTGTGTTGTTGTTGGGTTGGTCTGTACTGCTGATTTTGAGGTCCCCATTGCTGTGCACCTTGCCTCTGACATCCAAAATTATTCATGTAATTCATGTCTTCTCTGAAGCCCTGGTTATAATTCTCTCCACTCCACGAGCAAACATATGACTGATTTATGCAGGGAGTGCATAGGCCTCCATTTGTCGTATCAACAATATGCACCTGTTTCGTACCCATCTCATCAATTTTCTTTGTCAGCAAGCTCATCTGTGTCATGAGAGTGGCTATGTTTTCTACATTTGTATTGTTTGGGTCAAGAGCAACAGAATGCACTATTGGAGTGAGTGTTGTATCTCTCGACATCCAGCCTGAATTTTGAGACATCTTGTCAAGAAGAATTACACTCTGTGAATGTTTTGCTCAAGAATGCACCCCCGGCTGAAGCATCTAAATTGGGCGTCAGACCGTCAGCCAAACTCATGTAGAATCTCTGTCCCAGCATCTGATCCGAGATGCCATGGTGTGGACACTTCACCAGCATACCCTTAAACCTCTCCCAGGTTTCTTGCAAAGTCTCAGTCGATTTCTGCCTGAATTGCAATATCTCATCAATTTGCCTCGCAGTTTTGTTGGGTAGATAGAACTTGTTTAAGAACTGCTTGACTAGTTCCTCCCAAGTAGCAATGGAATTTATTGGGAGCGAATTCAGCCAAGTTTGAGCCTCTCCAGTCATTGAGAATGGAAACAGTAATTATTTGATTGCTTCAAGAGTCACATTCAGCTGTCTTTGAGTGACATAAATTGATAGGAGGTTCTTCAGATGTTGTTGTGGGTCTTCGATGTACGACCCGGAGAACAACCCCTTATTCTGCAGCAGGTGCAGCATGCTGTTGGTAATCTGAAATGTCTCCGCTTGTATCTGAGGGACTGCAATTGTTGTGGCCAGGTTATCAATAGTTGGTTGCGCCCAATCATAAAGAGCAGCTTCCGGCACAAGAGGTGCTACCACTCTGATATTTGGGTCAACTCGATCATTCCTATTGTTCCCGTTGATGTTCTTGGAGTCGTCCATTTCAATTTCGAGTTGGTCATTTTGTTTTAACTGTTTGCCCTTCTTGTTAGCCCGATTCAATGTCCTGAATGCTTTCTCGGGATCTAAGAGTCCTTCAAAAGTTCTCCATTTCTCAAGGAGCTTCTAGGCAGGCACTTGAGTCACAGAAGAGTTCAAACGTGAGAATTTCAATGAAAATATTTTTAATACCACAGAAAATTGATCTAAACTAAAAATTCTAGCAATTCTTCCAAGTTGTAATAAATAGCACCGTTAGTTCTCCGGCATCGACGCCAAAATTTGATCACGCCCAACTATGCCTTATAAAAAGGACTAAGCGTTCACTGCAAATAAAATCCGGTTTAAGAGTCCTGAGTCAAATCCCACAGGGAACTAACCTATTTAATACACTTTTAGTAACACTAATGATAAGCTCAGACAATTTTCAGATGCAAGATTTTATTTGATAATTAATAAAAATTATTTAACTAAGGAAAGATGACAATTAAAACTATCAATACGCAAGAATGAAGTTGAATTCAGTTGTATAAGGATCTTAGGGTTATTGATTTTCCCAATTGTCGGATTAATTCCTGACACGTTAGCTATAATCTCGCCGCAACACTGTATAAAGATAATGAGTTCTTGTTTACTGTAATTATCTCTCGATCAATTACAATAATTTACTAGAAGCATTCTCTCGAACTACTCTAGTTGACAATTTGTACAACTCATAAATATCACACCAAAGCTTCATTATCTCTAACCCCGCTTTTAAATTCAAGTAACTAATCTCTTAACTTACCCGAAAGTAGCGTTGTTCAACAACAATCTAATCAAGTGTTCTTTCTCAAGCAACACAAGATAAATAGACATGATTAATCAAGGGCCCTTTCAATTAATCACAAGACAACACATAGTTGAACAATTATAGAGTAAAAACGGCTCAATTATATTAAAACGTAATCAAGACTTCGTCCAACAATTGGTTCCATCAACCCTAGATGACGGGTTTAGCTACTCATACTACTAGACTAGATTACAATATAAAAAGTCATAACCAACAATGGAATTAGGAAGAAGAAGATGAAAAACTCGTAGATGATTCTCCGTCTTGCTCCTTGTTTTTGTGTTCTTGCCTCCAAAATTCTTCTAAAAACAAGTATCCCCTCTTTTTGGGCGAGTTAGGCTTCATATAGGTCAAGGTTAGTCGCCTTTGGAATTACAAAATTGTCCTTGGGCTATTTTTTCTCGGAAGCCCGTGCGCGGCCGCGGATCAACCGCGGATTGACCACGCATTTTGCCCAGTATTTTGCTTGACGTGCGCGGCCACGGATCGACCGCGCACCTGGAGGAGTTTTTGCCTTCATTTTTTTCTTTCTTCTTTTGCTCCATATTAACTCCAAAATACTTTTAATGTCCTCATAGCCCGGAATTGCTCCTGCAAGGCATAAAATTCATAACTAGAGCAATTCGTTATCATTTAACCTTCAAATATCAATAAAGTGTAGCTAAGTTAGAGCGTAATTGGTAGCTAAACTACATAATTATAGACTACTATCAAGTACCTATTGATGGAAGGGGGGCTCTAAGCGATCATGAGCGAACACGTATCAAAGTAAAAGCCCCTGGGATTATTGGACGTAAATCTGTGCATGAGATGTAATAGGGTCCGGAACAGTTCATTTCCTTTGCCAAGAAAAAACTGATTCTAAATGAGCAAAAAAAAAGGATCTTCAAAATGAAACAGAGAGGGCTAAAGTTAATTGAACTTTCAATATCAAGTCAGTAAAAGATTCATATATAGACTCTCAAAGAAAGGATGATATTCCAGATTTACATCAACAGATTCTTCTGTAGCATACCTACATGCTTTCAAGAAGTCAGTCTTATTTTCTATATATATCATTAGCACCCTATAGGTTTTATATACAACAAAAACAAACTGCCATACTATAAATGCTCATCCTGAACGAACTATCTTATACTCTTGCCAGAAGGACAAATGAAGTCTTGCGAACCGAAGGGGAGATATCAGCAGGAAGACCCTGTTATCTGCTTTTCTTCCTATCGACGCACGATTAGATAAATTAGTTCCTGCATTGACTTAAGTTCTTGGGAACCAACATGTTGCAGCCAAGACAAGAGTTACAATTTTCAGCAATTGTGATCTGGAAGATGTAATTTACAGCTGATATCACCTCCACTTCCAAGGAAAGGATTGACATGAGAACTCGGTATTCTTACGTGCTTTCGTGGAAAGTAAACGATCTAGATAAGGCTGCAGGGTTAGCTTGCAGGACCAGAGAAGCGTCAGATTCATGTTTTCTCTGATCGTCAACTTTTGAATTAAACGCCTTGAAGAGCCTTGCGCCATTGGTTGAATCATTCTTCTCGTTCTTAATATCTAGCGTAGACCATATAGAACTCTTAGCTGCTTCATCTGGATCATCAACTCTCAACGTCTTAGGAACTAGTACACATCTCTCTCCATCTAAGTCGTGCAAAGGATCTTCTTTCTCCAAGTTTGATGGATTAAGCATGCATTCGTCCCGAGAATGTTTTCCTAAGGTTGGAGAAGTAGGAGTGGCGCTAAGGACTGAACAATCAGGAGAAGGGAATAGTGGAGATACCCACGGGACATTCCAAGGACTTGCTACAGTACAACCCCAGTAGGGCGGTGCAGGGGTAAATGGTACTGGAAACCGCGGAGGAGCAAGGTTAGGTTGTGGCACTGCAGACGTCCACGGAGCAGCATTATAGGAATAAGGCCAAGGATGCCCCGGAAAGTGATGTACTTGGGGAGGAAAGGCCTGAAAATTCTTCCACGTTAAATCATGTGTTGAATTTGAGGCTGTGCTACAAGCTCCGCTTGATATATCATTTCCGATTTCTTTCCCTCCACAAGCAGAAGGTTTTCTTTGTTCAGATCCATTAAATCCGTTCTGCACAGTGTTCTGTGATTTTTCTGCAAGGTTCAATATAGAAGCCATGGAATCACAAAGGGGTTTATCCGATCCAAATGCAAGGACAGTTCCATTTTCTCGGAGCATAGGAAGGTTCATCCCATGTGCTGCTTCAAACCGGGCTGCTTGAAGGGCATCCGACACCATTATATGACGGTAACCTGTGGTGGGAGAACTTTTGTTCTTGCGGCGGCCAGAACCTACAGGCACATTTCTCATCGTTCCTCCAGCTGTCCAATATCTCTGACACTTCTTGCAAAAATGACGGGGCTGGTTGACGTTGTAATTATTATAGTAGCAGAACTTGGTTTCCATGCTATTACATCGCGGACATGGAAGTATTTTGTCTGGCTTTTTCAGTGCCTTCTCCTGAGTGACATTGGCCTCACTCAGGTCTTCTTTCTTGGTAGCTTTTGGGGACGATGTTTCTTTATTGGCATCCTCGGTCTTGGGGTCATCACTTATACCAGATGATGTTGCTGGTTCAACCGCCTCGTCTGCAGTTGAATTGGTAAAATCATCTCTGTTTTTAATCTGTGTAAGCTCAGCTTCGGATGTGATCTGATCATTGGAGAGGAAAAGGAGAACTTTTAGCACTCTGTTAGAGTAATTGAATACGATGGTTTAGCATAAGCAATGAGGTTATGTTATGCACTCTCAAATTATCAATCTCCTTATTCGCGGTTTTCGTGCTTATATTAACATGTAATACATGAACATGGGGTTATGCTAGTTGATTTTACACATTGTTTCTTGATAAATATAAGAACAGAAAGTTTCACAAGATTTAGACCTAAATCTTCACCCGTTAGAATTGTTAATAGTTCTACTTGACGAAGAATGAATTATGCATTCCAAGCAACCAAAAATTGACATATTTGCAATAGTAGACATATCAAAATTTATTTCACCTTTCAAGTCTGATGTGATTCTTCGAGTAAACAAAGAACCAAACCAAGTTCAAGATCTTGAAACGAAAATGTGGGTTTGTAGGCTAATTTCAAGAAATGGCGTGTCCGACGTATTAGGTCTCAGAATCTGATGATTCAAAAACGAGGTGAAAGATGACGGTCTATATTATAAGAAAGACTATACTGAAAGCATGCAGATTTAAATTTGAAGTACCGTTGAGAATAAAAAGTATCCTCTGTACAAAGCTATTAGAGACTGACTTGTAACACTTCCTTTGGTTTGATTCCACGTTATTTTGAACTATTTCTTCTTTCATTTATATTTACTTTAAAATCGGGAATTTTTAAATCTCAAATATTGCTTTGTAAAATGTCAGAAGGCAGTACAGAACATTGAATTGGAACTGGATTGATAAGAGGGAAAACAAGAAAAGAAAAATTGAAGAAAATGCAAAGTTAAGGTTCCACCACATCATAACTATAAAAATCAAAGAACTCAAAAATCTGATAAGAAATGGCCTAGATTTTTTGTATCATGCTCCAATATAACTTCGAGTTCCAAGATTTCCTACTCAACTCCAATATACCAAATATTGATGAAGAAATGAAATGCTACATAGAACATAAAAAGAAATTTAAATTGACACAACCAGAAAGGCAGAAACCATACCCTGCCGTAACTTATGCTATATATTCAATAAATAAATTATCTTAAACACCCAAAAACACATTCACTATGATCCAAGAGAAGAGAAGATCTTGACGCAGCAATAAACCAAACTTGTTGTGTTGTTGTTGGCTAACATAATAAAAATGACCAAATTCTTCTTTTCATTAGTTAAAAATAGGGTCAAAAACTCCACACGTATAGCTTGCTCATATAGCTGGTCTCAAACTCAGAATAATAGATGAGAGTCGTGGTACGTTGACCACTAGCATAAAACTAGTCGATTATTTGTGCATTATCGATCATAGTCCAGCTCAAAATAGGGTCAAAAACTCTCCCTATATGAGCTTGCTCACATAGCATCTCAAAAAGAGGAGGATTAGGATAGGTTAACAGTCATTTCATATACTATAATACAATTCAAAATAGGGTCAAAGCATACACATATAGAAGAAGTGCATGTTTATAATTTTAAGACAAACAAGAGTTAATTACCAGATCGTCATGTGAAGTAGTGGTAGCAGAAGAGTTTCGTTGATCAAGAAGATCATCAAGTGGCAAACGAATTGTCTTTCCAAATAGTTTAACTTGCGACATTCTCTCTTCTTTTTTCCAAATTTACTCACTTTCTTTCTATGTAGTTGCAGGACAAAAGAAACTTGATCAACTCACTGAAACATAATTAGGTTTTGTCGTTGTTGGGGTACAATCTTTTTCTTGATTTTTGCTCTACTTTAGTTGGACTTTGATGAGAAGCTAGAAGGGGTTTTTAGTCTGTGGTGCCATGTCAGAAAAAGCAATGAATTCATAGCCACAAAATTCTGTGTGGCAGTGAGAAGATCTTTAAAAGGGTTTTTGGGGTCTGGTGTTTCTTTTGCTGTTTTTTGATTCCATACCCACCCCACCACACAAACAAAATTAGTTTCTGTCAAAGGTAAGTGCTTTTTGTACTGTTTTTCGCCTTACTTTTTGGTCCAAGTCAGCAATATCTTTTCCCAATTTACTATGCTCCCATGGATTTGCTGTCCCTAAATACAAGGCGGCTAGCCTTAAGTTGATGGGTTCATGTGAATTCAAATGCTAGTTTTTATTTAAATCTGTATTTGTATTTAGAGATTTATCAAATATTTATAAATACTGATAGTGAACTTAATTATTATTCCCTCCGGTCCAAAATAGTAAGTGATTTTTTGGCCTTTTTCTCATGGTCCAAAATAAGTGATTTTCCAGATATCAAGAGTGAATTAATTATTTTTTTCCTACATTGTCCTTGGAGTAAATAGTGTTGGAATATGTGTTAGGAGTGTTTATGTGAGATAGTAAGGTTAATATAGTCAATTTAATTGTTAATTAATGCTAAAAGGTGGATTTCTTAATCTGTGTGAAAACATCCAAAAAATCACTTATTTGGACCGAAAGAAGTATATCGTTATAGAAAGCCATAAATTTTAAATCCTAAATTCACTATTATTTCATCACCGTCTTAATTGAGTATGACTATGTAAGTCGTATTAGTACTAAAAGTAGCTTTCCATGTGTTATCTATCACTCCCTTCCTCCGTTCATTTTTACTTGTCCACTATTTACTTTGCACATGTCTTAAAAAATAATATTAAAGTGCATAATTTACAATGATACCTATATTAATTGGTGTATAGTCTTAATGAATTTGAAAAATGAGAAGGTAATAAAATGAAATTGGGGTAAAAGGAATGAGTAGGTAAAAATAGTATTTTTACTATGGGTAGGTCCGAAAAAATTGGGCGGGTGGATATTTGGGGTGGGTTATAATTGATATGGACAAGATAGCCACGTGTCCCAATCAAATTGTGACAGCACATTAAAAGATGGGACCACAGATGGTTCTGTTAGTCGCGGGGTAGTTTCAGACCTCAAGATATGTTAGATGTATTTTCAAACAAATAGGTGGACGGAGCTCGATAGTAAACCATTTAGAATAATATAGGGGTGTTTTTAGCCCTTTTCCGTTCTTTTTAACTTATATATAGCCTATTAGATGTAATAAAAAAAAATGGGACTCTCACAAATGAGGGGCCTAAAGCAGTTGTTTTACATGCTTTGGGGAAGGGCTGCCCATAAGCATCCACAACAAACATTATTAACATCTGTAGTGTGTACTAAGGAAAATGAGACTGAGAGAGAATATGGTAAATACTAATAGCATCGGTATTTACATCAAACCAAACAATTTAATTTTAGGAGTTAAAATTTAAGTAAGAATACATGTCAATATACTGTCATTTAGCCATGATAAAGTAAAAAATATGAGTATAAAATATACATTCTGCATTCATTCGTTTAGTATAAATAAAATATGCATATAACTTTTATCATTAGAGAGGAGGAAAAAGGGGGAAGGGAAAAGAGACTACATAGTGGAGAGAAACTCCTCCTTCTCTCTAAACCTTCTCCCTAAACTTAATCTACTTTACATATTTAACCATGTCACTGACCTCCCGAATCGAGATTGTGTTCCCAATAACCCCATTAATCAAATCCCTCCAAAACCTCCAGACATTAATTCGCCTATTTCCCCTCCACCAATTCCCTCGTTCAAAGACAAACTTCTAACCCAGGATGTGGGAGAAAATAACCTAGTATCCATACATATTAACTCCCCTATACCAACCCCACAAACATTTATGGAGCAATCAGTTAAGAATCCTAACAGTCTCATCTCACCAAACGACACCAATTCTGCATCACCAATGCTCCTTTCTACCAATGAATCCATGGCATTTGACTCCCCAACACCCTTAGACCTTCAAAAATTAAAATGTATAAATCTCTCCGATGAAGATACGGCCAGAATATATTCTCCCTGAAAATCTTCCCTCATAATCAAATTACTAGGTAAAAGAGTTATCCATCAATATCTTAAATCTAAGATCATTGAGTTATGGAAACCATCTGAACAATTCTCACTTATTGACCTAGGTTCAGACTATTTTATAGTCAAATTCACAGAGGAAGCAAATATGACTATGGTTCTGAAAAATGGCCCCTAGTTCATAAACGGGCGTTATTTTTCAGTGAGATCGGAACCTTATTTTGTGGCTAGTAAAGCAACCCAGATACATTCAGCAGTATGGGTAAGACTACTCCAGCTACTTACTGAGTTCTACGATGCAATCATCCTAAACAGAATAGGAAATACCATTGGAAAGCTGCTCAGGGTAGATGCATGTACTAGTTCCACCCTCAGAGGAAGATATGCACGTCTATGAGTGGAAGTGCCCCTAAATCAACCAGTACAATCGGCTATTTTGATAGGAACACAGATGCATCAACTTATCTATGAAGGGAAAATTTTCCTTTGTACGCTCTGTGGAAGACTTGGCCATACGAGCCAATCATGCCCCTATAGAACCCAGAAATCGCTTGCCCAAGAGGAATATGTAATCTGGGACACTGCTTTACCGTCTACCACACAAAATCAATGGCACACAATGTCCTTTGCAAGAAGAAAAGGAAAAGGAGCACCCAAGTATAAGGCAACACAGCAGGATCCTTTTCCAGATGTATTAAACACACCAGAATCAGCTATCAGTGTTAAACTTTTTGATGTTTCAACAAGTAAGTATCTCAACACTCAAAAGTTCGTTTATAAATCCAAAGGTTTGGCTAATTCTACATCTTACCCCAATCCATCCCACAAAGTTGACCCTCACGTAGTAGGTAGCCCTAGTACTTCCCCTACTAAGGTTTTAAGTAATAATTGCGATAATCTCACTTCTACCAACCCAATCCCTACCACGAATAAATTTGCTCTTCTCCCGCCTCAGGATGAAAATAATTCAGTGGACCTTGAACACTCTGATGGAATGGAACTCGATACCATTAGGAACACCAATACCCCTACAGCACACCCCTCGTTAGTTTCGAGGAACCCTACAGTGACAGCCCCTAATAAAAGGATACGTGGCAATATTATTGCCAACCCTACGCCAAAGCCTAAACATTCTACTGATCCTTTCTTATCCAATACTCTAGAAGTTGATCATTCCTTTCCCCCCAAGCGTGAAACCACTGGGCTGGCTTCGCATAAGGAATCCATACACTTGACACAACCCCTTCGCCAAGTGGCCATGCATGGCACTCCACCAATACCCTCTAATCCCCCTTCACAAGTAACCACGCTAACCATGAAAATCAAATCCCAAGCTAAAGATTTGCAATCATCAGATTGCATGCCCAACCCCAACTCTTCGAATTCCCAATCTGTTTCTATAAATTCTTCTGATGCCTATCTTTACTTCCTACAGCAATACCGGAGAACACAACTCTCCCCACTCCCACAAACAACTTCTCAAAGCTTACTGAGGAGAATGGCATTTCCTCCACCCCCTCATCATCCACAAAACCCCCCTCTGTGTTCATAACTCAACCCCTCCCACAAGAACACCAACCATCCTCGTGGATAGAACAAGGACTTCAAGGTCAAGCGATGTTTCTACCCATGAATATTAACAATCCGGATACCTAGTTGTCCTACAAAACCCCCAAGTCCTAGCTCAACTCATTACGGGGGGCATGAATCTAGCTATGTCCAACTATGTGAATCATCTTTGGTTGGCCAACGTACTAGATCCCATCGCCCCTGCACTTGCATCAGTCCTAATGTACAACATGCAAGCCCAGTGGCAGCTCCCTCCATACTTCAACCCACTTCACAACATGGATCTTCTCTACCAACTCCCATTCTACACCCCACAAGAAGCGATCAACTTAACTCCACTCCTCTACTCATGGCAACCAATACCCCAACAATTCCCAATTCCGATGGATATCCATTAGGCCCAGAATCTCCACCACCCCAACGAGCTAGAACCAGAAGATCAAGAGATGGAAGAACAAGTGGAAGCAATCCCACCTCTACAAATAATATCATTCACAGAGATTTCAAATATCAAAGAAGCCAAAGTCATGCTATTCCAAGCACTAGAGGACAGGAAATGCATTTGCAGATGTCCAATAGCTCTTTACAAATGCTCCCTAGACATCAGGCCCCCCCAGAATGTAGCAGGAGGGAATTTTGCAGTAATTCTCAGCCCATCCCTGGAGGGGAACATTCCTCCCTCCTAGTTGAGTCTACCCTCTTCAACCCCCACCCACTCCATTCCAAATAAATAGAGCCACTAGCTTTGTAATCTGGAATATTAGGGGAGCAAATAATGATGACTTGAAGTGCAACTTTAGGGATCTCATTGATAATCATCACCCTTGCATGGTAGCACTTTTGGAAACCAGAATGTATTCTCATCTACCTCGTAAAGACAGCTTCAACTTCTCCAACATGTTAGAGGTCCCTACTCAGGGACAATCTGGGGGTTGTATTAGTCAAAATCCGACCACACGACCACAGCAGCAAGGACCCCGTCCCGACCACCCTGCAGCAGCAGTCAACAAATTTGACTTCGCCTAATTGGTGCTATTTATGAAATGAGTGTCGAGGTCGAGGCCTCCCCATGAGGGGAGGTCATTTCCCCGACCCGGCCCAAACAAAATGTGATAAGCATGAGGAGTTTTGGGCTATAAATAGAAAGAAGAAGAACCCCTTAAAAGGGATGAGGCTCCAAGAGAGAGAGGGGGAGGAAACAATCTTAGGAAAAGAGATTCCACCTCCAAGGAGGAAAAAAGAATTTGATTGTAATCTCCTGAACCTTTTCAAGGAGAGGCAGGCCGAATTTCTATGATCTATAAAAACCTTCCAGGTGTCATTTTAATTAATTCTTCTATCTTTACGATTATGTTCTTCGATCCAGTATCAATTAATGTTGACTACGATTTACCCCTTCATCTACATTGATTGATTTGCATAGAAAGTATTAAACAACTTTTGGGTCAAACAATTTGGCGCCGTCT